TTTAAATGAATTTGATAAAGGGAATGTGAATCTTAATTTCTCCTCAGTGATTCAAAGGAAATACATCTTAACCAAATGCTCCCAGGCAAATGTTTTCAGTCTAGCATCATTTGGGAAATGTCTCCGCACATAGATGACTCTGCAAGTGCTTAGCCATAAAAGGAGTCAATTAGCAGACCTTGTGACCTGACCTGATTTTACCTTTCCTTGAGTTTGTAGGATCCCCCCCCCCAAGCAAATGCAATCAATATTGATACTGTTAGTTTTATTATAAACATTTTAATTACTATAATGTGATTGTCATTACTAACAGCAATATTAGATACTAGATAATATTTTTGAATATCAATGAAGAAGGTAAACAGGTGAGGCAGGTAGTACTCGTGATTACCTTATTGGTGACGTAGTACTTGTGGAGCCATCTGTGTGAGAAAACAATATAGTAAACATTCAGAAGGCATACACACATGCCATCCCTGGCAGCTTGGGATTCATTTTCATCTGACTTTGTTGGCATACTTTTGTTAATTGTATATTCAATTACAAAAGTATTCTTAAAAGCAAAGTAGAACCCATATTTGACATTTAAATGTAGATTTTGCATTGGTAATTGGTAACTCTAAACTTGATGATATCACTACCAGGAACATACAAATCACTAATAACTAAGTTCGTTGATTTAATCACACCACCTTATAACTATAGCCCAACAAATGCACTGAAGGTTTACTAACTTATTCTAAAGTAATACTTCAGAAAGATGGCACACACACTAATCAATCTTTGAGCATCTCAGCTCACTTTAACCCTTTTAGTGCAGACTCCCCAGTTGGCATCATGGCTCTGAGTTAATTTTTTTTTTTTCCCCAGTCAGTGCGATAACCTGAAGCTGGGGTTGCTAGTCCAGGGAGACTCAAAGTTATATTTAGAAATTCCTTCTATAAGGATATTAGGTCATCTTGACCTAATTGAACCCAGATGAATAAAAACTTTTCCTCTTTTTTTTTTTTTTTTTAATAAAACATACCTACATCACTGTAGAATTATCTCAGGTATATCCAGTTTAATTTATGTATAGGAGCTTGCTTTTAAATATTACCGAATGTCTCCTAGAGTCCTATGGTTTTTCATAATTACAACAGGTTAGTTTGTTGTCTTACCAGAATAGTAAGCTCTGGTACAATAAGTGTGTTAGTTATCAAAGCAACCGCAATATTATCAGTTGCCTCACAGCACTGTCATTCAGGAATGTCTCTCTACAAGAAGGGAAGAGATATAAACAAAGATACACCAGGAGGATGTATGGGATGTTAGAAAGAAGTGATAGCCTATCGGACTTGGCTACATGTACTGTCTACAGTAGTGTATTGTGATTTTTTTTTTCTTCTTTTTTTTCAGACAGGAATCAGTGAGCAAGCCTTATTCCTTGAACTTTCATTATTTTTTTTAATGCTGCTGATATTGATACTATTATTATTTGACATGATTATTAAAATATTAGAGTACTGATATCTAAAAATGATAGAAAAAAAAAGGAAGAAAGGTAAACAAGTGATAAGTAGGACTCATGACTGACTCCTTGCTGATTAAACATGCGGAGACAGTAAAAAAAAACACAATGCAGAAAATAGATTTATCGAAATAACTGAGACAACAGTTTCAAAATCCTCCTGAAATCCATCTTTAGACCCGATAATGGATTCCAGGAGGATTCCAAAATTGTTATCATATTCATTTCAATAAAACTAGAGTGTGCATTGTGGGTTTTTCTACCATACCATCAACATGTAATGTTTTCCATTCATTTAGAAACAGCGGAGATTAAAAATAATCAACAAACTAAATCTTGGAAATTGCTTTTTGTAAAATATTTTACAACAGTTTAAATATATTGAACAAGAGCTAGAGAGATCATGTATGGTTTATTTTCTAGGGGCAAATTTATTGTGATTTTATTATTTGAAAATATTCTTAATTTCCTCAAAATACATCTGTCCTTAAATATGTAATTTGTGTATAATTGAATATTTATTTTGATAATTATGCTTTCAGCTTATCTTAAATAATTTCTGATCTTTACATTTCATTTTTTCTGTAATACATAGTATAATCTCACCATAAACACAATTTTGAAAATAAATAAAGTTCTAAAGTTATTAATGCAAACTTAATTAATTAAGGTTAAACCTATGAACTGTTTACAATCATTACTTTCTAGATCATATTATCTGTTTCATTTAAAGGACTGTCAGGCATAATTGGGGGGGGGTAAAAAAATAGTCATTGAAAATTTTAAATTTTATTGAAAACTATTCTTAAATCTACCTTTGATGTCCCAGCATTTCAAGTTGATATCTGTAAAAGAAAAAAGAAAAAGGAATTCTTGAGAATACATTGTATCATTGTATCTTAATAGGATCACTTAATATTCGTGACATACTAATTTGATTATTGCCATGTGAAAGCCTATGAAATTACCAATCGATCCATTGAGAAGAAATGTTTATATTTAAACAACACATAAAAATGACAAAAAATAGCAACAATATTTTTAAAATCTATCATTAAATAATAATCATGAATCTCAATAAAATTTCGGTCAAACAAAATTCTATCGAAAAATAACTTACCTAAAGACGAAGAAAACAAGACCAAATTTAAGAAAATCGAACAATAAAGAACCGAGTAGATAAAATGCGGCGATAACACGTTTAGAGATAAGGCCCGTCGAAGTTGACAGCTGAGACCGCGTTGAGGTGGGGTCACGGTCCGGCCGGCTTGAACCCTTCACCAGCGTACGTCAGCTCTTATTGCAATCCACGGTTCCTCATTTCTTTATTGGAGTCACATTCATTCTTAAATCCTGTTGTTGAAGGACTTTCTTTGAAATAACAGCCGTGGAACTCCAAGACTGGTGTCGAGACAACTAGCCTCATAGCCCGAGTTGTAGTTGGCGACAGTTTGGGTGACTGCGAAATCCAGCATGGGTTTGTTTCCAGTCTTATGTTTTGGCAAGAATCTCTGCATACGGTAGTGCAGGGATTCGTTTGGATTCTGCGGCCAGCCAGCCAAACACTTCATCATTAGGTCATCTTCAGTCAAACGATCATACACTTCTTTTACAAGTGCGAGCTCCGGTGGTGACAGCTCGAAGTGCACGTTCATTCAAGGTCTATATAAGTACTAATATACCTTGCGTTTATTGACCTATGCCTTTTCGGGACTTTTTCATTTGCATTGGCTTTATTGTCGAAACCATGAAGTCTTGGTGGCTGGGCATAGGCGGTGCGAGGGTTTTCATCAGTGGAGGAACAATGAAAATAAGATGCCAGGAAGTCGTCCCTCGTCTTGGCAGAGGTGCCCCGTTTACGCCTGATAGACATCCCGAAGTATCTTGTGGATGATCGATGGCGTTGTCAGTCAATATATCCCGGCCCCCTAAACCTCCTTTCTTCTTTTTGCCCTCTGCTGTGACCTCTGTGGCCACCTGCTTGCTAAGCTTCCGAAGAGAAGTTCCTAGGCGACTGGCGACATGATTTACGTTTTCTTTCGCGATGGATGGTTTTCTCCACAAGGTCCTCCCATTGTTCAAACTTTTTTACGGCCTTGAAAGCGTTAGTCACCACCGGAAATCAATTTAGTATATCTCAGGTTGTAGCCCAAGGAATGTTCCTACATAAGCAAAGCTGCTGTCCCTTCCATGGCACCTGACGAGCCCCCGTGGTTCACGTGACAGCTGTTTGCGTGCCCTTCTGCCACTCGGAGAAAGGCCCCTTTTTATCATAAAAGTAAAACAATAAGATTTCATATTGCCTTTAAAAAATATTACACAAAGCATTTAATGTTTTTCGTTTTGTTGGTTTATATGTTTTTATATAAAAAAAAACATCCATAAATTTTACTATGTAGAATAGGAGCCCCACCATAATTTTTTTTAATTTGGCTCCGCAATTCCTAGCACAGGCCCTGCCGGAGGTTATGGAACACTATTGAGCATCTGAGCCACAGATACAGCGTTACCATTACGGCACTGCTATTATGGTACGATTTCCATGTTGAGCGGGATTACATAGAGAACGGGTATTTGAAGGAAGACTAAAATAATGAAGACTTCCCTTTAACGAGAAGCATTTTTTTTTTGGGGGGGGGCGCAATGGAAACAACTACTTTGCAATTATGTAAAAGGAAATGAAAAGAACTTTAGTTTTCAATGACATATATGAAGTGCTGCTCCAAGTGAAACCAGACACTTATCAAGTTTTAAGGGATAAGTGAAGGATAGGAATGCAAAATACGGAACAGGATACCTTTCATGTATTCTAATAAACACCAATTAGAATTACATTAGAATAATGTACAATACGCTATCTCTGTACATTAAAAAAATCTTTTATTTCAAACGATCTATTATAGTTAGGCCACAAGTTAGCCCTAACAACAAATCTTCGGTATTATCTTACTCTCGTAATATAATTAAAAGTTATTCCAGATAGATGTAATATTAGTTGTGATAGTTCAAACTTCAGATCATAACGGATATAAAAATCATTCTGCAGGAAATGAGTGTAGGGTAATCTCACAGAAGAGCTATGCACAATCACTGCTTATGAGTTTGGAGTTTCTGAACTGCTTAAGTGTTTACTGTCTAATTAAGTTTGTTCTAGTGTGCAGAGACGAATTATAGGGATGATAATGTGCAATGGGAGTTAGGTAAACAGTTGTAAAAGCATGTATGGTGAAGAAACCCTTCCTTGCTGGTCATATCTTTGCCAGTTTAGAATCGAAAGGCCCTTTCTGTCAAAGATATTCAGCAGAAAGGGCCTCGATAGCTCTTTTTCCCGTCGTTAACGTCACGTACGTATTTTTGCGCAGTCAGTCTTTGAAGAATTGGTTTGGCGTTTATCAAATTTAATTCTGGCGTACGTTTCTGGTACCTTTGGCTACATTCTTTATAGTCAAACACCATTGTGGACCGTTATGAAAAAGGGAAAGAAACATTGTTTACTTTCTTGTCAGATTTATATTCTTTTCCATTTATTTTCCTTAGTAAAATACTGTATTGTGTACATATTTCCAGAAATATGTACAGAGAAAATTTATTTAACAACTGTTCACAACACAACACAGTATGCACAACATATTATTCTGATTAAAGCATATTTCTAATTAGGATATATAAGCTCACCAAAAGACTGAGTAGATCGAAATCATGGTTTTCAAGCAAAACTTCAAAAATTGTTTTTGATAGTGTTTGACGCAATACATCCTTAACATCAGAATCACTAAACATTAAGGTTCTTTTTAAACTGCACTGCAATAAATCCTAAACCCAAACAATTATGAATTTTACAAGAATAACCCCTTCCTCTAAGGTAAGAAACAAAGAAAAATAGACAACGAAACCCTTGACTTCAATAACCTCACTGAAGTTCCTTGAAGTGCGAAGAGGCGGGACCCGGTCGGCCTGTGGCGGGGACCAGGTTCTCCCAGTGCTCCCTGTTTGCTCTGGGTTGGGGAGAAAAAAGATGCGTGAGATATGAGAGTGTAGGCGCATTTTTTTCCAATATAGATGTCATATATTCGATGGTTCCATCCTTCTCTTTTGCTTACTTGGCGAGAATAAAGACCAGACCTCACAGATACACTGATATATACATTATTTCACGGAAAGTTATCCAGGCAAGCAGAGTTGTTGATATACACAGAATGTAGAGTAAATTATTTCACGGAAAGTTATCCAGGCAAGCAGAGTTGTTGATATACACAGAATGTAGAGTAAATTATTTCACGGAAAGTTCTCCGGTCAAGCAGAGTTGAAAACGGATGGAATGTCCCCTGATGAAGAGCCACTCACCTCGCGCTAATGAACTGGTACTTGCTATTCCAGATGCCCGCCCCCCAAGGCTCGTGTTTGGCGCTCGAGGCCGGGAGTTTCCCCCGCTCTTCGGCCAGCTCTTCGGCGATGGCGCGGACGTGGTAGGGCTCGAAGCCGCAGCAGCCACCGATGTAGCGCACCCCCAAGTCGTAGGCTGCGCGGGCGTACTTGTGCACGTCGAATCTCGTCACCGTGCGGGACTCTAAGGCTGCAGGTTGAAAGGCTCCGTTTAAGGCCGTGAATTTTTGAATTAATAAGGCATTTTAGCTCTGGATTAGAAACCTTTTTTTGAGCTCAGGAATAGGATAACGATCAAAATTTGAAAACTCCAAAAAGCTCCTGCATCTCTATGAAAGGGGATTACATACCTAAAGGATATTCTGGGCAGCTGAGGTATCCGTATCTGTCTGTGCCCGTCGAGAAGAACCCGTTGGGCTGAGTCATGAGGAAGGGGCGGAGTCCTTGGGCGTCGAGGGCCTCCTTCATGAGCCTGATGGCGTCGATGGTCATTATGGGATCGAACAGGCAGTTCACGCCAACTGCGAGACGAAGCATTCCGATAATTTAATTGTAGGCCTATGCACCTGTGGGTTTTGAGTCATGCAAGTGAGAGGAAGTGTTTCTGTGATGTCATCTGAAGGCCTCTCTTTGAGATTTTATTTGTGTAAGGAAGAAATTCAGTTATATTTTGCAAAAAATAAAATAAAACACAAAAGATAATATAAAATATAAATAATAAAAAAATAATAAAAAGATGGTTACGAAACCCAATTCTCCTTAGGACGTGTTTGATGGCGGGCTGATTATATAAAATACCTTTCATTTCAGTTTAAATTTGAGAGGATTATGAACTTGGTAATAATTCAAAATATGCACAAGGACGAAGAAGGGTGCCTGACCGACGTCGGCGCCCGCTCGAGCCATCCTGACGGCACAATCCCCCGGGGACACGCCGGTCACGTCGCCCTCCTTCCCGATGCACATGGACGCCGCCACGGGGAGCCCGCACTTCTTCGCTTCCTCGATCGCCCATTCAATTTCCTCGATGATATTGTAATACTGCCAAGACACGAGAAAAAATTAGAATGAAGTGGATATTTTCATTGGCATTTCCCACTGGAAAAGTGAGTTTAAAAATCCAATAAACCATGTAACGCCTAAAATAAACAAGGAAATCATATCAGACAAAAATACTCCAATATTTTTCTATGTCACTGTACAGTTTCCTCACAATAGAGTGTCACCCGTCGCCACCCATGTCACTACAGTTTCCTCACAAGTGTCACCCGTCACCACCCATGTCACTACAGTTTCCTCTTGATAGAGTGTCACCCGTCACCACCCATGTCACTACAGTTTCCTCACGATCGAGTGTCACCCTTCACCACCATTTTTCTCCATCCCATAACTTTCCTGCGTCTTACCAACCACCACGCCTTACCTCAACGATGAGGAAATCGACTTTGTTCTTCATCAACGCCGCCAACTGGGCCCTGGCGACGGCCTGCACTTCCGCCTTCCCTTTCCCTTGAAGGTAGGCTTGGCTGTGTGTGATTCCTCCGGCTACCAACGCATCGCCTTCTGCTGCCACTTCATGAGCCAGTCGACAGGCGTTGTCGTTCAGTTGAGAACACTGCAGGTCGAGGTATCGAGGCGAGTTACTTTTAGTGTTCTTGTAAACGTTAGTGATGTTATGACTATCATTATTAGTTTTAAGTATTAGCATTATCAGTATCATCGTTTATGAGCATTACCGCCACATTTGTTATTGTTATTATCCACCACATCTGACAACAAAGTACACACTAAAAGCATTAATAAGTATAATCAACATTACACAAGGGGGGTAAGTGACAAAGCCCCCAAAAGGAACAAGGATTCGGAGCAAGTGATAAACAGGGATTCAGGATGAACCGTATTCATGTTGAGAGATGTAGGAAGGTATGAATGAGAATGAATTTCTTCACAACACATGAGATGTATTTCTGACCGGCGTCGAATATATCTTGTATTTCTGACGGAGATGTATTCGAAAACCGGTCAAATACATCTCTTGCATTGTGAAGATATTCATTCTCATTCATACCTTTCAACAACAGGGATTTAGGATAACTAAAGGACAAGGACCCAGAGTAACTAAAGGAAAGGACAAGAACCAAGGACATCTAAGGAATAAAGACCCAGGACAGTTAAAGAACATGGACTCTGGATAACTAAAGAACAAGGACTCAGGGGAACTGAAGAACATGGACTCAGAGCCACTAAAGAACAAGAACTCTGGGTCACTAAAGAACAAGAACTCAGGCCAATTAAAGAACAAGGACTCAGGGGAACTGAAGAACATGGACTCAGAGCCACTAAAGAACAAGAACTCAGGGTCACTAACGAACAAGAACTCAGGCTAATTAAAGAACAAGGACTCATTTCAACTAAAGAACCTTACGGAGAACTTCTGGCCGTTCTTTATATCCAGCATATCGTCGGTAGAGAAGAACGTGAAGGTCTGGAGGACATCGCTCCCGGCCAGGAGGAACTCGCGATGTAGTTGCTTGACTGTAGAGTAACGAGTGAAGAGCGTTAAGTGTGGGATGAGGAACTAGGTGGTTGGGCGTCGTCGATAGATGGATGGAGAGGAGAGGATAGAAGGGAAGTAGAAAGGGAGAAGGTGAGAGAAAGGGGGTGGAGACAGGTGGATGTATAGGGAGATGGGAGAGATCTTTGGACTAATTGATTCCGTTTTTGTCAAGCTTTCCCTACTTTTCGGTCTCCTTAATTCGTCTATACTATTTTTCATGTCACTTTTAACACATCTTACAGAAAGGAAAGAGATGGAGACAGGTGGATGAATAGGGAGATGGGAGAGATCTTTGGACCAAAAATTGATTCCGTTTTTGTCAAGCTTTCCCTACTTTTCGTCACTTTTATTCGTCTATGCTATTTTTCATGTTATTTTTTATGCATCTTACCGGCTTCAGGGTGCTCTATAACGGCCTCTGGTGTCCAGTTCCCCGCCTTCACGAAGCCCCGTTTTTCCAGCGCCATGACGTAACCTCCGTCTCCGGTCACAACGCCATCTCGGAGGCGCTCCAGTAAACCCTGTGGATTTTTTTTTATTATTTTTCTTTTGTGTCACAACGCTTTAAAGGGGACTTTTATGTTAACAAGGTTTATAGGGGGGGCAGGGACTTTTATAAAAAGAAATACATTTTTTGGGGGAGGCGGGGGACTTTCATATAAAAAATGGTTACGATATACAAAAGGACTTGTAGAAAATCTAAGATCATGCTTTGCAAACATTGAAAACTACATTGATTGATATCAAAATTCGAGTTATTAAACGACGAAAATGTATTGCGGTAAATACCACGCCGAGACAAAGTCAAGCCTTCCTAGCTTTGCAGTGTACATTAAATTAATTCCACGGTAACTCAACATGAACTGTTTTGCGCATGTAGCTCGTGGCGTCACAGCCAGTCGTTGTGATCTGTTATAAATAGCTATAATATTAATGTATTTCTGTATTTTGGTTTATATAAATTATATCGAGATACGTGTTCATTGAATGTGATTTGTTTTGTTTTATTAAATACGCATCATCATCTTTTTATTAGAAATACTGGTTACATCCATAGTGCGTGTGGCTGCCATCTACCGGTAGATTTGAAAATTTCTCGGTTGTTGTCACTTTCAGTCTCCATTGCTCTCCAAAAGTCGTGTGGTTACAGTGTTACTCGTGTTTCCGAATTCTTTCCTGATATTGCAGTGAAAACGATCTCCTGTTGAAAATTGTTACATTCTCGGGGATAACGTAATATTCAGTGAAATACAAAAACCGTGTTCCAGCTGCAGAACTTTGTCCCGAGGTTGTCACTTCCCAGGCAGCCTCCTCTTCACAGCCATGAGAAAACATTTTGTGATTTTAAATGTATAGTCGATGGTGGTCGCCTAGAAAATACGGCGATTTAGAGGGATTTCGAGGGCGGAGTGATTTTTATGGTAGTTTGTGCGTTCATGATGGGGTTCATTCGCTTGGTCATTTGCGAACCGCCATGTCGAATCTTCTGAACTCAAATCTGTCTCGGGTTCTTATTCTGTTTTCCACTTTACCCTATTTTCTTCTACGATCCTTGGCTCGTTTTTTTTGGTAATTTTCTATATTACCTTCGCCTCACCGATATCGACGATTTTGGTATCGTTGGATTCCTCTCACTGTTCACATTCCAAATATGTAGGTTTTATTGCGCGGAAACCCCCCGTTAGCGAGAAACTTGGCCCCGATTGCAAGGGAGGGCATGGAAGGTTCTAGAGAAAATCGAGGTTAAATAACACTAATAATATAACCCACAGTGAAAATAACCATGGTTATTCATATGACTTTCCATTGCAGGGGCTGCGCCCCCTGCGACCCCCGGGGGGGCTGCCGCCCCCAACCCCCCGCCGAGGAAACAAAACCTCCACCACGTATTCCCGGCAGGCTAGAGCGTTACACAATTCTCGTCGATCGCGGAGCGGCGGACGTATTACATTTACCTCGTAACATTCCCACTGAATCAGCATACTAACCTTGACATAGTCAGCATTGTATACACACGATTGTAGTATAATCAGGATGAACAGAGTATACCATGAACAGAAGAGCGCCCTCGTCGGCGGGTTTTGCGCCTCTCTCGATGTTACGCCGATGGCCTCAAGGTCGAGTTTCCCGTCCCCTGGAACCACGATTTTCGAAATCCTAACCGAAATAACCGTCGCATTCAGTACTTCGCCATGGCCGCCGCGATGACAGTTGTGAAGGAGCACGTGTGCGCTCTATCCTGCCGTGAATACGTGGTGGAGATTTTGTTTCCTCGGCGGGGGTTGGGGGGGCAGCCCCCCCTAGGGGGGGTCGCAGGGGGCAATGGAAAGTCATGTGAATAACCATGGATATTTTCACTGTGGTTTAATTATTAGGGTAATTTTCTATATTACGTCCGCCGCTCCGACATCGTCGCCCCCGATATAGTGCCCAAGTTTGCCGCTAACAAGGGGTTTTCGCGCAATAAAACCTACATATTTGGATTGTACAGAGTGAGAGGAATCCAACGATACCAAAATCGTCGATATCGGAGAGGCGAAGGTAATATAGAAAATTACCGTATATATATATATATATATATATATATATAATATATATATATATATATATATATATATATATATATATATATTTATATATACAGACAAAAACCATTGTTTGTTTGAAGATGAACTCGTGAAGAGTTCGAAATGTTCGCGTTTATTTTCAATTCTCATTGTGGCTAGTTTCATTTTCATTTTTGTGTACACGTGATTGTGTTCATATATATATATATATATATTATATATATATATATATATATATATATATATATATATATATATATATATGTATATATACACACACATATATATGTATGTATATATATGTATATTATTAAAATGCATGAATGTATTCTGTGTGTGTGATCGTGTATGTGTTTAAGCACAGTATTTACGTAGAACCGAAGTATTCCCACGGTGGACTTTATGGATATTTATATGTGACAGTTAACATTCATGACAGACATTACGATAGCGTGATTTTAACTCTCCCCCAAAATGTTTCAACACGTTTTCCAATTCATTATTCTTTTCTTCTCACTCTCCACTTCTCTTTGCCGTTCTCTCGTCTTTATTCTGTTCTTTTGCTTATCCACTCTCTCTGTCTTTCTTTATATTTGATTTTTTCTCCACTTCTTTTCTCCCTCTTTTTCTTCACGTCGCTTCCCTTCTCTTCTCTTAAACTCTCTTCTTTTCTCTTCAATTTCTTCTTCTTAATCACATCTTCTCATCTCTTTTCTCATTTCCTCTTTCATTATCATTTTCCTTTTCTTTCATCTCTTCTCATCTCTTTTTTATTTCCTCTTTCATATCATTTTCCTTCTCTTTCTTTCTCTTCTCTTTTATTTTGCTTCTCCTTTCTTTTCTTCCCTTCTCTTCCGTACTCATCTCGTCTCTTCGTTTCTCTTCTCTTCTCTTTTTTCTTGCTTCTCTTTTCTTCTCTTCTTATCTTTTCTCTTGCACTTATATACATCTATTCTTGCTCCGTTTATGCGATGCCACTCTTATCATATTCCACTTCTATTATTATAACTAAAGGTGACCATTCATAGCGCGTGTGAGTGACACATTGCAGTGATATCTCTGGTGTTATCGTTGCCACAGTTCTCTTGGGTCTCCTATGGCAAAAGAGTGGTATATTCTGGTGTTAAGTTCAGTGTGTGTTATCAAAGAGTGTGGTCTGAGTTCGTGAAGAAGTGAGAACGTGGGAGGTCGTAAATGTGGATGATTTTAGGGGAGAAGGTGAGGGAGAAAGAGAAGTGGGAGGGTTAGGGAATGAAGGAAGGAGTTTTGAGATATTAGCTAATGACGGTGGGTGTGTTAAGAAGAGAGGGAGAGAGAGAGAGAGAGAGAGAGAGAGAGAGAGAGAGAGAGAGAGAGAGAGAGAGAGGAGAGAGAGAGAGAGAGAAAGAGAGAGAGACGGTTTAGAATTTTTTTTCCATGAAATAAGGCTAAGGAGGTAGGGGAGGCAAAAAAAGGGATATAATAAGTTGAGAACTGAAAGAAGGGAGAGGCAGAGGCCAAAAGATTGGGTTAATGATGAGGGCTGGCTGGTTAAGAGAAAAGGGANGAAGGAGGGCTAAGGGGTGGGGAAGGGAGGGAGGGAGGGAGAGAAGTTTGTAGCCTCGAGGTCTGCCTATCCCCTAGAGGTGCTGATGGTATTGAATAGCTGTCAAAATGACTTTTATTTATTTTTTCTCTCTCTCTTTTTCTTCTCCTTCTTTCGTTTTTGTTCAGGTTTGGGGTTTATTGACTTTTTTTTCATTTTATTCCTTTGTTTATTATGGCTACGGGGATTATCATGATTTTCTTGTTGATTCTCTTATTACATTTTTCGCTATCAGTTTTTATCATCATTACTACCCTAGTCTTTTTATTATCATTCTGCATTACTTTCTATGTTTATCTTTATTTTTTTCTCCTTCGCCTTCTCATTTTTATTTTAATTCTCCCTCCCCCCTCTTTTTTCTTTTTTTTTCGTTTTTCCCTTTTTAAGAGTCGCAGGAAGTTTCGTTTCTTAAACCACTTGGAAACCTCTTGGAAACCTTATGGAAAACCCCTTGGAAAATAATTTTTGAAGCCTCTTGGAAACCCTTGGAAAATAATTCTGAAGCCTCTTGGAAAACCCTTAGAAAATATTTTTTTAAGCCTCTTGGAAAATCCCTTGGAAAATATTTTTTGAAGCCTCTTGGAAACCCCTCGGAAACCTTATGGAAAACCCTTGGAAAAAGATTCAGGAGCCTCTTGGAAAACCCTTGTAAATCTAGAAACCAAATAGAAACCTCTTGGAAACCACTCTGCAAATCTTAAGGAAAACCCCTTGGAAGGTAATTTTAGAAGCCTCTTGGAAACCCTTGGAAACCTTATGGAAAACCCTTGGAAAAAGATCCAGAAGCCTCTTGGAAAACCCTCGGAAAATAATTTTTGAAGCCTCTTGGAAAACCCTCGGAAACCTTATGGAAAACCCTTGGAAATCTAGAAGCCAAAGAGAAACCTCTTGGAAAACCCTTGGAAAATAATTTCTAAAGCCTCTTGCAAACCCTTGGAAACCTTATGGAAAACCCTTGGAAAATATTTTTGAAGCCTCTTGGAAAACCCTCGGAAACCTTATGGAAAACCCTCGGAAACCTTATGGAGAACCCTTGGAAAATAATTTTTGAAGCCTCTTGGAAAACCCTTGGAAATCTAGAAGCCAAATAGAAACCTCTTGGAAACCTTATGGAAAACCCTTGGAAAATAATTTTTGAAGCCTCTTGGAAAACCCTTGGAAATCTAGAAGCCAAATAGAAACCTCTTGGAAACCACTGTGCAAACCAAAGAGAGAGATCCAATGAAAAACTCTTGGAAACCTCTTGGAAATCCTCTTCGGAAACCTCTCGCAGTCCGCAGCACCTCCTTGCTTCCTCCTTGGCAAAGACGCGAAACCCTAGGCTATTCAACCAGCCTCCTTCCCTTTTCTCTCTTTCTCTCTCCTCCTTTTTCTTATTTCTGTCTTTCCTTCGTTCGTTCGTTTCTCTCTCCCTCCTTCCCTCACTCGCTTTTCTCTTCCTCCCTTCCTACCTTCCTATCCTTCCGCCCTTCCTCCTTCCTT